TATCTTCCGGAGAGGCCACGGGAGGTTATATTTCTTTGCGAAGGAGTTTATCATGTGGGCCGAGCGTAAGGCCGCGGTAATACGTAGTTTAGTCGTTTCTTGGCGGTTAAGGGTGCTGGTAATGACGGCTCCTAGATATTTGAGGCTATTGTCGAGCTGTAGCGTGTATGGGCCGATTATAAAGGGGCCAACTTTGTGTAACCTGTTCGGGTGTTTGGGGTTACGAATTAGTATTTTGCTTTTTCCTGCGTTTAGTTTTAGGCCTATTGTTGACGTGTGTTCTGTTAGCACGTCGATAAATCTTTCTATTTCCCCTACGTTGTTGGCGATATATAGGAGGTCGTCCGCAAAAGCGAATAAGGTGGGAAGTGTAAGGTCGGTAAGTTCAGTGGCCAGTTGGAGATCGGGGATTTCTACTGTCGTTTTTAATAGTATTCTGTGTAACGCCAGCGTGAATAGCCTAGGTGATATGGGGCAGCCCTGTTTTACGCCTCTCTGCTTACGATAGAGTTTTGTCGTCTGTCCGAACCATTGCACACACGTGAACTCTGCTAGGCAGGCCGTTTCGATTCTGTCGATTAGCCACTGCGGGGTGTTCAAGGAGCCTAGAGCGTCTATGATTGCTGCGTGAGTGATTTTGTCGAATGCTTTTTCTATGTCTAAGGTTATTATGAATATCTTTTTTCCTTTACGCCACATTTCTTCCATAATTCGCCTAACACTAAAGATATGGTCCTGAGTTGACCTGTTTGCGATAAATCCTGCCTGATAGTAGGGGATGGGCTCTAATAATTCGTCAAGTATTTTTAGCAGGTAGCGGGCGTAGATTTTGTAGCCTACACTACACAGCGTTATTTTCCTATAATCCTCGGTATTTGTCGCTCTGCGATTTTTAGGAATTGGAATTTGTTTAGTTTTGAGCCATTCGCCAGGTACAACGTTCGTTGTCCAAATTTTTGTTAAAAGTATCGTGAGTGTATCGTAAATTTCCTCCGGGGCCTCCTTTAGTAGTTCGTTTTGAAGTAGGTCTATTCCCGGTGCTGAGTTTTTTCGCAGTTTATGTATTGTTTGTTGTATAAATTCTCTGTCTGGCGGGCGGGTTAAGGGTGTATGGTCTGGCGCCTGTCTGTCTCTGGGTGAGATGTCGGGATTTACTGGGGGGCTTTGTGCGAGTTCGGATTCCCATGACACAAGTGGGATGTATATATTTTGTGTCCGATTTTGTGTCCTTTTGAAAGATTTAATGTGTTTGTAAGTGTGTGAGAGTCGTTTAGCCGGTTCGTAGTCGTTAAGGTTTCTAAAGAAAGTGTAGCTTTTCGCTAGGTATTGTTCGCGTATGGCCAGCCGTGTTGCAGTTTTTGCCTCGCGTTTTGCCTCGCGTTTTGCCTCGGCAGTTTGTGTGCTTGGTTTGAGAGAGTGGTTCCTTATAGCTTTTTGTAGCTTAACTTGCGCTTTTTTTAAGCTGTCGTGTGTAGGTTCCGTCGGTTTTGATAGCGTGCGGTTGGCTGCTGTTATTAAACAGTTTTTTATATACGTCCATAACTCAGATACATTTTCCAGGTCAGGGTTACTACTTAGTAAAATGTTAGTTACCGCAGTCTTATAGTTTAAGTTGTCTTTGGGGTCATTTAAGCGATCTATATACTATTTTAACGGCTTGTCTTTGGTGGCTTGCCTGACGGTGGCGGCTTGAGCAGGTAGTTGTTTTATTATACAGTATAGTAATTTATGGTCTGTATTTAGGTCAAGTGGCCACGTGGCATAACAGTTTTTGAAGAAAAAGTCAGTTGTGTTGTTGCGTAGCATGTGGTCGATTTGAGAGCTTGTTGTTTTGTTGCTCCATGTGGTTAGGACTGTTTTGGAGATTGAAAATGTGTTATGCACTCGTAAATTAAACATTTGCGCCAGGTTAATGAGATCCTGGCCGTTTTCGTTACTATCGTTATGTCTTAGTTGGCTGCCCGCCGTAACTTTGTCTTTGATTGTGCCGTGGGATTTTCCTATGTGTGCGTTAAAGTCGCCCGCGATAACCAATGTTCCTTTTCTGATGTTTATGTCGATTTGTTGTGTTAGCTCGCGGTAGGTTGCCGTGTTGCGTTTGTCAGATGGTATGTGGGCGGTAATTACGCATAAACGTTTTTTGTAGAAGTCTAGAATTATCGTAGCGGTGTTTTCCGAGGTAGCGTAGAATTTTGTCGTTTTTATGTCTTTGTCCTTCTTTATGAGGATCGCGACCCCCCTTCTCGTCATTTTATTGTTACCCCCGCTCAGATACCAATTGTATCTTTTTGTGGTGGCGCGACCCGAAGTCATGTATGTTTCTTGTAGTGCTATAATGTCCATGTTATAATGGTCTAGTACGTTGTCTATTATGTCCCTTTTTTCTGCCCTTCTACACCCGCGTACGTTTAGTGTGCCTATTAAATGCTTGTCTACTTGTGTGTTTACATCTAAATATGTCCTGTCGTTTGTTGATTGAGTTATCGTGTATTTTCCGTTTCCGTCTACTATGGTGTTTATGTTTCTGACGAACGTGGTCGGGCTGTTCCTGGGTGCGGGCTGTTTGGGAGATACCTTTAAAATGCTGTCGTAGTGGTTACGGGTACCTAGTGCACCTAGTCTGTAGCATATTGCTATTGTACGGGAATTGTCGTTCAGTCTCGCGGATATCTTGTCTTTCCCGCCCTGCTCATGGTAAATTTCGATTGCGACGCTGAATACGTCTGAGGCGGCTAGTATTGTTTCCAGTCCGGCCCAGAAGCCGTAATTACCGTGGTCGTTTAGGTACGCATTAATTTGTCCTGTTTTGTCACTTATGTGTTCATAACGACTGCTTAGTTCATTTATTGCGTCCTCGATGTAGGGTCTGTACGTTCCTAGGTTATTACGTAAGTGGTTGTTTAATATTTGTCTAGTCTCTGCTGTTGTTTCAGTTTCGCGTAACGAACCTATCACCGTGTTAAACAGCTGATGTGCAATCGCTGCGATAAGGCAGTTCCCAGTGGGGGGTATTTTTTTTACTTTTACTATGGAGTCAAGAGTGTTTATAAATTCCATGGAGTTTGATTATAGTGCTTTTTTTAACTTTGTTTATTTTTCTTAGTTTATGTTGTTTATGTCTTAAGTGTCAAATTTTGGTCTCGGTTTATTTTACTTGAATTGTTATGTTGACAGCTTTATTGCCCTGTTCAACTTTGGTGCGTGTCCGCGATCGGCTGTTTGGTTTTTCTTGGAAAATTGACTTTTATTTATTTAATGCCGATGATTATTGTTTTTTTTTTAGTTAGGCAATGTGCCTTGTTTAGTTCAATTTGCAAATTATGTGTTAGGTCATGCGGAAGAATTGGAAATACTTAGCAAATATTTGCAGGTGGCCTGTTCCTCCCTTGTATGTCCTCTTTTGTTTGGCCTGTGGAGATCGACCTGTTGACCGATGGTGCGACCGCTCAGGCACTGACACTTGTCACTCGACACTTTCTTGTCACTCAACGCTTAAAACTTTTGACCGTTTCACTATGTTCGCCTGCACCTGTCACTTCACTCCTCCTTTTCACTTGGCCGTCAACTAATTATTGACCGTATTGTAGTCTGTACACACAGTATTTTTTTTTACACTATAGTAGTTTGCACTATGAAGGTTTATTTGTTGGTTATGGTTTTATCGTTATACGTTTTACGTTTACTCTGCCTCTGCTGCGTCGACTTATTCACTCGACGGCTGGGACGAGAATGTAATTTTTGGTAACCATTGATATAAACAAAATTCTTACAAAAAAACGAAATCAATACATTTTTCAGAAATCTTCAGGCGACGTTTATTTATTGATTAAGGTAAGTTACTCCTTTAATTTTTTATATAATTACTGAGCATTTCTTCTTTAGGTGGCTGTAATGGTATTGCTGGAGTCTGCAGAGGACAAGAGTCAGTCTATCCACATAAAGAACCGAATGAACATAAATTTGTTGTTGAAAATTTAAATATGAAGACTTTGAACTCAGAACTTAACATGTTAAAGTATATATACATGTTTTATATAATTAATTAAATTGTTAAAAATATGCGTTGTTTTATTTAAATTAAGTCGATAATTTGCTTTAAAATTCCCAGCCGTACATAAAATATTTTATAAGCTGTATTGAGAAAACTGGTATCCACATTTCGAGAATATTGAGGGAAAATTGAAAATAAACAAGAAAAATAAGAAGCATTGATAAAAAACATTTGATTGCTTAGTTCTGCCATGATGTCAATAAATTATCGGGAATTTCTCGTTTATGCACGTTTTTTTTGTTTATTCTCATTTGTGCTCAATTCGCGTTCCCCAAAAAGAAATGTTATTTTTCATCTACCTTTAGCCATTTTCTTAACACTTGCGCCTTCTCTCAAGTCCATTTCTACTTTCTGTTCCTCAGGAACCATCTCTGAAGTGTCTAAATCTTCTAAAGTTTCATCCTCAATCATTTCCTGTTCCTCTACTTCCATATCTAATAAAAAATAATAAAATTATATATTACTTTTAAATAAAGACCTAATTATTATTAATAGATACCTTCAATGTTAATGTCTTTTAATTCTTTTCCCGAATATTTGTGAGCTTCCCACTGATCAACAGCTAACAAAAGTCTGCTTACTTTCGTTAGCTCAACGGCGTTCTCTTGCAGGCGATAAAATTCACGGTGAACTCGTACATCATGACCTAAGTGTCGCGCAAGCCAGTCGTACTCATTTTCACTGAGGTTAAACACTTGACAAACTGTTGCAACATATTTGCGTAATTTAGTGCTGGTAATTAATTCTGGCGACTGAAGCTCGGCTTCAATGCACCATTTTCTTAAGCAGTCATGTCCTCTCATGTGACTTTCTGAAGTATTTGGAATTTGCTGCTTTACCTGAGCGTCTTTTATTAAATAAAATTATTCGGCTAAGTGTTAAACTTGCTAATTCGGTCCATTTCGCAGAATTTATGTTTAAAATATTATTTTTAATTTTTTTGATTTTATCGTCTATAAAGTTGCTTAGTTTTACTAAATCGCTTGTAATTGGAAGCAAATCTGTAGCTGTCTTTTTTCTGGTGTACATATTTGCTAATGCATTTGAAGAGATTCGTACACTCCATTCCAAATCAAGTAATGTTAAAAACGACAGATATATTTTATTCGCTCTTAAGTTTCCTCTTCTTAATGCTTGTCCTCTTTCAATTGAAATACACTTTCGTAAAGCATATCCTATCTTCAAAGTGATGGTACACCAAATTCTGGACGTTTTGCAACTTCCTTAGTTTCAACACAGAGCTGTTTTGTTGCCTTAATAATTGCGTCAAATTTTTCAGGTTTAAGAGCGTCTCCTAAACATTTTTCTATTAGTTGCAAAGTTAATCTCCCAAGTTGCCGCATCGACTGCCTAATCAATTCGCTTTGTGTAATGTCGTACTTTTCAAACAAGAAAGATCCAAATTTTAGAATAGTTTGATCATCTTTACATACATTTGAAATCGAATCATTTTTAAATTTATTTATAATGTTGTTCGTAAACTCAACTGTCACATCTTTCCCCAATATTCCATTTAATAAGGCATTACTTTCGGCTATTGGCATCTTCTTACCGCTTTTTAATAAATCATTGTTCTCGTCAACTGTCTCCTCTTTCGATTGACATGAGTATTTTAAATGATGCCAGATGTGTCTTTTTAACATGAAACCTAAGCATTCAGGGCATGGTCCATAGTCAGTATAAGAACTAAATTTTATCTCATCTGGAGTGGGTCTTCTTGTCAAAATAAGTTCTTCCTTTTTTAGGGAAAGTGTCTCGCAATTATGATAAAAGTCGCCATTTCTGCTTAAAGCTAAAAATGCATCTCGTCTTTCTTTGGATTTTTTTGGTTTTGCCAATATTTTTGCAACCTCTGTTTCTTCGTTATGTTTTAATTCAAAATGTCGAGCCAAATTGTTGATTACTATTTTCTGACAAAAAAAGCATGAATGACCCTTATTTCTGATTCGTTTACCATCAAGTTTTACAGCACTTTTAATCATAACATTTTTTGGCGACGCTTCATCTCGGGCTAATTCTTCATCGTCACACAAGTCATCATTTGTAGGATCATGATGCTCAGCCTCTAAAACGACAGTATTTACCTTGTTTTTTTTTGTAAGGTGATTTAACCTTTGGTCTGACATCTCATTATCACTATCCGATGATTCCTCATTAGACGGCTGAAACTCACTTCCGGAATCTTGATATGGTTCTTCAACACTTTCTGGATCCGAGTCTTCAATTATAGTTGCATCAGACTGTGGGTTATCCTCAGGAAAAAGCTCACTTAAAATTTGTGTTGCTGGTTGGATAGGAACAACTGTTTCCCAACTTTTAGTTTTCCTGGGAGAAACCACTGCAATTGGTTTGAAATACTCATTTGATTTATTGAGTTTTTTAACATTTTTTGAATCCAAGTCTTCAATTATACTACCAACAGACTGTGGGTTATCATCAGGACCAAGAAGATCACTCGAAACTTGTATTGCTGGTTGGATAGGAACAACTTCGTCCAAAAAACTATCTTCCCAGCTTTTCGTTTTCGTTAGCGCTGCAATTGGTTTGAAATATCCATTCGAGTTCTGAACTTCTTCAACACTTTCTGGATCCGATTCTTCAATTATAGTGCCAACAGACTGTGGGTTATCCTCAGGACCAAGAAGCTCACTCAAAACTTGTATTTCAGGTTGTATAGAAACCAAAGAACTATCTTCCAAGCTTTTAGTTTTTGTGGGAGTCACAATGGGTTCTGAATAGTCATTTGAGTTCTTGAGTTCTTCAAAGGTTTTAGGTTCCGGGTCTTTAATTATAGTTCCAATAGGCTGTGGTCGACTTTTAGGAACAAGCTCACTCAAAATTTGCATTTCCGATTGGCTGGTAATAACTTTTTCCAAACAAATATTTTCATTGTTTGTAATAAGGATGTGTCCTAAGAAGTATATATTAAATATTTTATAATTTTCTGTTAGGTATTATTTTTATAAACAAAATAATGTTAATTTTAAAAAAATGCATCAAATATTTTAACGATAAACGATATACGTGGTGTATTAATTATTAAGATTTTAGCTCATTTAGGCAAAAAACTTAAGTTCTTAATTGTTTAAATGAGCTAAAATGTGAATCTAACATAAATATAATATCATAAATGTCAGTGTAAACGTGAATAAGGAAGGAGAACTATAAAATAAATGTCCCTTACCACTTTGCAAAGTTGCCTCTCTTTCAAATTTATTTGTTCCTTTTGTAGATTCTGTAATAATTAAATTTTGTAGAATTGTTATGTCTTTTTTATTAGGTTTATTCTCGGGTTTACTTGATTCGGCCACGTCAGCCATTTTTATGTTTTTTTTTTGTTAGGTTTAATCTCGGGTTTATTCATTAATCTGGCCATGTCAGCTATTCTTTGTGATCTTGATCTAGTTTCCATGATTAAAAAATCTAGAAAAATTATTGATATATTTTCGAGTAAGTTTTCGGAAATTACTTATCTCAGAAACTACTGGAGTCACAAAAAAATGTAAGAAAGAAATATTCCAAAATATTTTTTTTTGTATTGTAATTTTTTGCATTTTTGGATTCTATACACTATTTTAGGTAAAGTTTGTAAGTATTTTAATTAAGATAATGTTACTTTTTGGGTAAAATTGAGATTTATTAAAATTTCTCCAAATGTAGAAATTCGCTAAAAGTGAAAAATAAGCAACTACAAGTTATTATTTTTTATCTTATGTAGTATTCATCTCTTAAATAATCACTAAGCAACAAACTGATCATACTTTTTTGAAAATATTATACAGGTTGGTTTCCATACCCCGTGGAAGACAGAGATCACTTTTACTGAAGTGAGCTGATTAAAAATGCACCTGATATTATGGTAATTATTAGAGTTATGACACCCTGTTTATTTTTCAAAAAGTATGATCAACTTACAATTGTAGCTTATAATTAATTATTATTCAAATAGTATTCAATGAATACTACATAAGATAAAAAATAATAACTTCTATTTGGTTGTTTTACAATGTCGAATATCGAATTTATACAGGGTATTTTCGAATAAATGAGACACTCTTATAAAATCTTTATTTAAAGCGATATCGAAAAAATTCAAAAAACAGCTTGAATAGTTTAAAAAGTAATTTTTTTGACGAAAATAAAAAAAAATTAAAAAAATAGAATTGACAATGTTTTTTTCAATGGAACTTCCTGTATATTTTTGTATATTTGAATAGAGTTTATGTTTCATACATACATACATAATTTGTATACAATAATATTTATTTTAACACTTTTGTTTACAATTGACCCGAAATAATTGCTAATTTGAAGCAAGAATCATAGTAGCCATGGATAGAGAACTGTCATTATCTTTTTATTAAAGTAGTAAAATGAGGTATAGCGAAGACGAAAAATGTAAAATTTTATAATTGACAGTTTTCTATACATGGCTACTATGACTTGCGTTCAAATTAGCAATATTTTTGGGTCAATTATTAACTAAACTGTTAACATAAATACATACAAAATATTTTTGAAATCAGAAAAAACTCCAAAAATATACAGTGGGTTCCATTGAAAAATACAATGTCGATGCTATTTTTTTTTAAATTTGTCAATCTTTTTTTTGTCAAAACATACTTTTTAAGGCCATATAAGCTGATCTTTAAATATTTTCGATATTACTTTAAATAAAGATATAATAGGGGTGCCCATTTTATATGAAAACACCCTGACATTTGGAGAAATTTTAATAAATCTCAATTTTAGTCAAAAAGTAATAACATTTTCTTAATTATTATACATACCTACAAAGTACCCTAAAATAGTGGAATACAAAAAAATAAAAAGTGTTTCTTTGAAAATAAGAAAGTTGATACCGTCCCAACGAAAATCGAACATCCTGTATGAATGAAAATATAATATTTAAAAAATATTTCGTGAATATTTGCCCCCTACAATTTTTTTGTGACTCTATAGTAGTTTTTGAGATTATAAAATGAAGGAGCAAACAAGAAAGGGGGTCAGAAAAAACTAAGTGGTTTTTATCGCGCATAATATAAGTTAAAAAATAACTACATTTTCACAAAAACAAAAAAAAAAAACGCTTACGAGAAAGTGTCAGGAAAATCTAGGTTAGGTTTTTTATCGTGAATTAGTAATATAAGTAAATAAATAAATAAATAATACTAATAATACTTTCATTTACAACCAAACAAAAAAAAACACTGCTTTTTAACCGAAATAGTGGCACGAGCCAAAAGTTTATTATTCCTTGCTGGATAAATGTGGTTCTGAAATATTGCCGTGTGTATCGTAGAGGGCGCCACAATACCAGGATGTCACAAATATGTCTAAAACACATGGGTACTATACCCAATTGTGTCACATTATACACACACTTAAAAAATCAGCTTACAATGATTGGTTTGTATTTTTTGGTGGGGCACCCCAGTAAATGGCGGTACATTCAAAAACAAATTTGTAAAACATCAAAATAATGAGAAAAAGGCAGTATTTGCTGTGACATCGCTGTGTAAGATGCCACAACTACAAAAGATGTCACAAATCAGCTCTATTCACACACTTGATGCCACAACAAAGGCAGAACGCACACACACGATAGCACACAAAAACAATGAAAAGTTTTTGGTATGGTGACTCATCTCTGATAAATTTAAATTAATTAGGTCGAATTTAAGAATTTGTAATATAAAATACTTGCATTAAAATTAAAATATTAAAATAGTATTTTTATCGCTTTTGCGGTTAATGTAATGAAAGACGAACACTTTTAACACAGGGAGATAGGAACACCCAGGGCCTTTTTTGGTAGGGCGGAAGACTGAACGTTATCGTAGGTATAAAAAGTAGCGATAGCATAGAAGAAAAGGATATGCACTACAGTTGATTAATCATATCATAGGTCGAAACGAGTTTACAGCTTTTAGTTGTAATACAGAATCCAAAAAACTATTTAAACGAAGTAATTGTAGTAATTACGGTGAAATGAATCGAGTAAATAATACACATTTTGTTATATTTTTACAATTACAAATAAATAAAAAACTCCTATAAAAACTATTAACCTAATTATAATTGAAATTCTTAAACCCATATAGAAAATAGTGATGACATCATTAGAGGATATTGCGTAATATTATACAATATTATTTCGTTATTATAATAAATTATAAAATTTATTTAAATAAATCAAAATATGTGTTAAAATCATACAAAGAAATAAAATCCTTAAGTGTAAAAAGAAATTGTAAATACAATAATTTAAATATATTAAATTATATAAAATTATTTTACGATAAATTGTTGTAATTTAAATAACCCTTATCAAATTAAATTTAAATCATTAAGGTTTAGAACTAAAGGAAAGGGTTACTCATTTAGCTACAAGTTTTCTTTTAAACATATCGCTTGATGTATACAAGACATAAACAAGATATACACAGGCTATGACACTTATAAGTAGAGACCGGATAAATAAGCACAATTTTTAAAAAAAAAAGTGCTTAAAAAAGTATAAAAATATTAAATAAAAAGCTCTTAAAAAGCATGAAATTTGCAAAAAAGTACCAAATAAGCAAGTTAATTAAAAATAATTAATATATAGGGGCAAAAAAGTTGTAATAATCTTAATATTGGTGTTTATTATTTAAATGATACATTTTATTATTTTTACATTATATCTATTATTAAGACCTAAAGGAATGTATAACTAGATGTTTCTCCAAATTTTCTATAGTAAAATTATGTCTTCTGTCTGTTAAAATGTTTTTGTATGCAGAAAAACTTCGCTCCACATCCACACTGGTCATTGGTGCATATTTAAATTTCGGGATAATGGCTGGATCCATTTCAAAATCGGAATATTTAAAAAAAATAATCCCATACTAGATTGATTAAAATAAAAAAACACTATCTAGGCGGCTTTTTATTGAAAGGAAACCATTACAGTATTGGGTTGAGAAAGTAGAATATAAAGTCGAATAATATTTTAGAAATTAAAAGTTGTATTTCATTCAATTTATTTTATTTCATCCTTAAAATTTTCATTTATACCTTAAAGTAATTCAATTTAAGTCAAAAAGGAAATCTCTTCAAAACCATAAAATAAAATCAGTAATTTTTAACAATAAATAAATAATAATAATATATATTTATTAGCATTGCTATAAAATACAAAGTTGTATAAAGTATAAGTACAGAAAACTATAATTTTACTTATAGTTTTAGAACATGCTTGACAAAAGACCTTTTTATTGTCAATTTTTAGTTCCTTGTGACCACTAATCCACTCTTCAATGGTTGGCTTTTGTTTTGGCATTGTCTAAATAATTACCACGTACAGCAAATAAAGCGCAAGCACAATAATAGAACCCCGTAGCGTATCGTGTATCTTAACTAAACATTAAAAAGCACGCTACACAGTAGCTTCTTTAGATCGAATACTAACTTATATTAATTTACTATTTATATAAATGATGGTTTTAACAGGTAACATTTTTAGTACAGTATTGGGGGTAGATTAAAGGAACAATAATTATGGGAATGCCCTGTAATCTTTATAGTTATATAACACTAAACTATTTGAATATATTAAAATAAATTTAATAACGGGGAATTATTGGTATCAATTTGGCCATTGAGAATAATATCAGTTTTTTTCCTTTAATTTGTTAATTTCCATAGACTCTAATAAATTTAGTTTCATACTTTTGTTTTCTATATGTAAGATTTTGAAGTTAGAATTAAACAGTGTAGTTTATATTAACATATTATTAACATGGAGTTTCATCAAGTAAAAGTCGAAACAATTAATTTAAAAAAAATGTATAAAAATATGGAAAAAAGTTTAAATAAGCACGAAATCGAAAAAAAGCATAAAACCTTAAAAAAAGCAAAAAATTAAGCAATAAGCATCATGCTTAAAATCCGGTCTTTACTTATAAGGCATGTACAATACACATATAAGACATGTGCAAGATACATACATCACGTCTACAAGACATGTACACCACATGTACAAGACATGTACACCACATGTACAAGAAATGTATACCACATGTACAGCACATGTACACGACATGTACAGCACATGTACAAGACATGTCCACCACATGTACAAGACATGTACACGACATGTATAGCACATGTACATCAGTTTAAATAGGACTACATAAGGCTCTTACATCCATTAGCTTACATCATGTCGTGTAAACAACGTATTTCTGAACTTGGCAAAAATGTTAGACAAAAGTATAATGACTTGAAGAGAATGGAAGATGATAATAAAAAGCGACTGGAAAACGTGTTCAGGCCTATTACAGAACCGCTGAAACAAATTGTACAATCGTCCAATGAAAAACACTCTGATCATCAAGACCAAGCTGCTGTAGCCGTACCTGCTACACAATACACGGAAACACCAAATAGTGCAAGCCTATACTCCTGCAATAACACAGATACTGCTTACGGCCCTGAATTGAAAAATGGTCTGTGGTTGCTGGGTAATACATCTCTAAATTTTGATGATAATCATATAGTTGTGGGCGAGAAAAAATTTAATAGTAGTGAAGGTCTACGACAACTCCTGTTTTGTAAAAATCCCGGAAGTTTTAGTGCGAATGATGCGCAAATATATAAACAGATATAAGAGATGACAGGGGTTCACAGAGATTCTGTGGGCCGTTTGAGGGCTAAAGCGTGTAAAGAAAAATTTAATACAGTCATTAAACCTCTATTTAAAAAGAAACGTGGAAGGTATGGAAACATTACGTCAAGAAAGCAGGGCCTAGATTCTACTACTAAAAAGAACCTTGGCCAAACATCTAAGCCCGGGGTTATTTAAAATTGCGTCGAATTCTAGTTTAATGCCCTCGCGATTAAAAAATTCTTCGATGTACTTGCTCTTTTGCTCATCGGATGCACTATTTCCGGGCCATCCTGAAAACTCTTGCTTAATTTTAATGAATTTATTCATCATTTCAACGAATAAGCCCCCGGTTTTTTTATCAATATTGTACTGTTCCACCCTGTATTTCCACACTTCATCGATCTTCAATATTTCATACCCCTTTTTTAGGGCCTTAAGCACCTCATCAATTACCCAGGTACCCGATAGCGCGCGGTCTTCTTCGGTATGTTGGCATTCCTCGGCGCTTAGGTTTTGTCCGCAGGTACGACAGAGAACAAACATCAATTTATTGTTCATTTTTGTTGGTAAAACAGGGTGATACAAATTTCGAGGTGGTAAAACAGTGCATTTTATTATTCCGTCTGTTTCCTGCAAATTTATAGATTTGCATTGATCGCCAACAAAAACTTCTGGGTGACCAACGGGGTACTTGCCGTATTTACATACCCAAGGGTAAAGGGAGCAAACGTCCAGGTATTTAATTTTTTCAACCCCTTTGGTCTTGTAATATGTCCTGCAATTTCCTGTACGACCCCCGTAAAAAGCATCTCGCGGGTTTAGAGGCGAGTGGGATAATAACGGATTATTTTCGACATATTTTAATATTTCGGTCTTCTCGCGCATTTCCCGTCGGAAATCACACTCCCATTTTTCAATGACGTCATACCCTGCTGCTTTAAGTCTCTCGATTTTTGCCACTGTGGATTCGTACCGGAAATTCATTGATTCTGTAGGATCATCTGATAGAGGTTCGTCGCGCTGGTGCTTAAAACATCTGGGGCATCCGTGATAATAGCATCCTTGAAACTCGAAAACTTGATTTTCGCAAAATCCATCAACCTTTAACCCTGATAAAATTGCCTCTTGCCCTCTGCCTGCGTGTTGTATGGTGATTTTCCTCTGATTTTCTTCCCATACCATCCATTTCAACGCTATCATAGACTGGTTGTCTGTCATTCTATAACCACCCTTAGGAATAATACCAATTGTGTTTGGCTTAAGAAAATTTCTCCTAAACACTTTATTGCAGGCTGAGGCAATGGTGCAGGCGTTAGTAAAGGGGCAAACATTGGTGGTTGTTATCATCTGTTCTCGAAATTTTGGACAGGCCCCTGTTAGAATTTCTACATCGGAAACGCAGTAATCGATGAACTCTTTTTGAAAATCAAACTGGTCGCGCTTATGATCCTCATACCATTTTAAAAATTCCTCTCGTGCCTCTGGTTTCATCGTGTCAGGGCTATAATATTCGGCCGGGGGTAGGGGGCCAACATACGATTGGTTTTCCAAGGTGTTAAATAAATGGGTAAAATATCCCTTCTTTAGTTCCTTTAATCCAAATGCTTTAGGGAGAGCTGAGAGAGGCATGGGAAAATAATTAAGGGAATCCAAAAATTTGATGTTTTGTAGTTGCATCAATATAATTTTGGTTCCTCTCATAATTAACTCTGGGGTTAGGTCAGTTTTCTTTAGTATGTGGCTTAGAATGAATGGCCTGGCCGTTGTGAATTTTTTTCTAATTTCTAAAAGGTGAATCATAAAGTTGGCAATGGGGTTTGCACCACGAACTTTTTGCAGTCTTAAGCCACATTTTTTACAAATAATATCTGATGTTTTTATGCACACATCACAGCATTATTTGAAAACACACAAATTCGGCTCGTGTTCCAGGTCGTCACCGTTGAGTTTTTCCTGTCTAGTCTCCAGGCCGTAGAAAACAAAAAGTACATCCTTTGTTTTTGGCTTTCCTGTATCTGGCTGCATGAAGCACAAATGCCCTTGTGTTTTTGACCTATTTTACAAAAAATTTCCCCGCATGTGTGCTTTCGTTGAGCCTTTATGGTTTTTAGGCAGTTGGGGCAGAGTCGGATTTGATTACAGATGGACCCCGCCGTGCCGACTTGACTATGGTTATCATAACATGATTGGTTTTTAAATGTGCGAAGGCAATCAGCACATTTAACCTTAACCCCCACTTTACATGGTGGAGACCTCTGGCATGCCACACAAGATTTAACACATCTGTGCTCGTTTTTGTGATTGTGGGGGATATGGCATTCCTCGCAAAAATAATCACAGCAGAAGGCGCACTTTAACATAGTCAGGGTCTTTGTCTACGTAAGCCTTGGCCACGACAAGAGCTCGAGGTAGACATAAATTGTCATTATTTTTAATAGCGATTATCCCCTGACGCTTAGCGCACTCTTCATCAAAAGTGTTGTAGTTTTTCCCTCTCCCTTTCCCCGCAGGTATCCTGACGGTGGTAACGCAAAGACAAAACGTCTCGGTGTTTAGACCCATGGAGTTGGATTGGTAGATGCTGGAGATAACACCCCAAACAAAAGATTTTCTGTGGCTTTCTTGATGACATCACCAATGGCATTTTTCACCCATGCCACAGGTTCCTCCCTTGAAGGTATGTCTCGCAACTTAAACTCCAGTGTACGACCTTGAAGATTAAAGCGTCGAACATTTTTTGAAAAATCTTTAACAATAATAAATTTTTCCATTTTTAAATTATCTGAGCGATAAAAAGCAGTTATCAATTTAAGACGACGGATAACGACTGATAACCTGCGGGTGTTATCGCTACTTTTTATACCTGCGATAACGTTCAGTCTTCCGTCCGACCATTTCGAAAACCAAAAAAGGCCCCGGGTCTTCCTATCTCCCTGTGTTAAAAGTGTTCGTCTTTCAATGCATTAACCGCAAAAGCGATAAAAATACTATTTTAATATTTTAATTTATTTAACCACAATGCAAGTATTTTATATTACAAATTCTTAAATTCGACCTAATTAATTTAAATTTACAGGGAGTGCAGTTTACGTTTTTAATTGTTTTTCGGGTAACCTTTAAATGGGCGTTCAAGGTGTGCTGTCGTGTGTGTGTGTGTGTGTGTGTGTGTGTGTGTGTGTGTGTGTGTGTGTGTGTGTGCTGTCTAAACGTGAGTATTTCAAGTTTTTTAAAAATTCAAAAAGGCCCCATGGTGTTCCTATCTCGCTGTGTTAAAATTGTTCGTCTTTCAATGTATTAACCGCAAAAGCGATAAAAATACAATTAAAAGTAAATTATATTCCACACATTATAAGTTATTATAAATTGAAAATCATTTTGTTTTTTATTGCAAGACATTATTTACCTACTTAAAATAATCATATTTGTTATATTTATTTTCTGACAACACAAAATTGTCTTGGTTCAGTGTGATAATACCACAATTTGACCCTGATTTTAACTTTAATTGCAATAAAAACGCATTTGTTTTAATTTAGACAGATTTGTTTTAAGAGTTGTGGTGATGATTACAGCGTTAAGTCTAATTTTTTTAAATAATTATTATTATGTTGGTAGCATTGGAGATAGCGGCGATGCAATGTTACGCAACATTACGTAAAGTATCAGGGTCATTGGAGCTCTAATAGATAAAACATCTGGTCACTGGGCATCTATTATTCAGGTATTTAGTAAAATTCGGAGTAAGGTATACCAATTATATCGGCGATGGCGATTCGAAAACTTTTGCTGGTATTCTTAAAATGAATCCATACGGTGACAATTTCCCTGTAACTAAAAATGAGTGCGTGGGGCATGTACAAAAGCGTATGGGTACTCGACTTCGAAATTAAAGGAAGCAAGAAAAGCTCGGAGGTAAAAAGCGGTTAACGGAAAGCATCATTAAAAAGTTAACGATCTATTATGGTTTGGCAATCAGAAGAAATTTTAATTCAGTCGAGGATATGAAAAAAGCTGTAATGGCAACGCTGGACCATTATTGTTCGAGTGATAAATTTCCTCGCCACGAGAATTGTCTGGCAGGCGCCGAAAGTTGGTGCAAAGCTCATGTGTCTTTCAAGCATCCTGCTCGATTGATTGACGAAAATGTGGAGAAAATTATTCGTCCTATCTACGAAGAGCTCTCAAGCAAGGAACTTTTGACGCGATGCTTAGGCGGACACACGCAAAATTCAAACGAATGTTTCAACTCCACTGTGTGGCGCATGAGCCCAAAACATCTGAATTCTGGCAAAAAAATCGTTGAAATTGCTGCGTACATGGCTGCAGGAATGTTCAACGAAGGATATTCCGCAGTTTTAAGTACCATGCAGCTACTCGATTTAAAAATTGGCCAGTTATGTAAGATGTTTGCGGATAACGTCGACGCACAACGGATCAAGAGGGAAAACCGGCGTTCGTCTTATTCTAGCAAGGAAGCTCGCACGGCCCGTAGACTCGACCAACTGCATCAAAATGAGTTTTTTGAGGAAGTTGAAGGTTTACTTTATGGCGCAGGAATAGCTGATTAGCGCATCATCACTGTAAGTAATAGAAAATTAAAATTTTTCCGATTGCAAACTTTCAAGGGCGTTTTCTCGAGTTTTCGTTTTTACGGTTTTTCTAAACTGGCAGGTGTAATTGCATGAAAACTAGACCACCAATTAAAACAAACCAAGGCTTGTTAGCTTCAGTTTTGTATTGTTTTCTACTTGAACTAAAAAGATTCACGAAAAAAAATTCTGAACAACTTTTTCAGCAAGTTGAAATGATTTTTTCGTTGTTGCAAAAGACATTTTTTTTCAAACCTGTGAAATTTTTTTAATTTCACAAATTTTCGTGTTATTCTTAGTCGATCTAGAAGATTAATATATAAAAATTGAAAAACTTTTTGGTTTTTTTTGTTTCAGACGAAAATTAGGAGATCCATCTTGCCCGCCGATTGGTTACTGCAATTGCGAGGTGTTGCACAAATGTGTACAAAAATCAACTGCGTTTGAATATTTTACTCTTAATTATTTTTTTTTAATGATTAAAGATGCCATAAAATAATCTAAAACCCTTCGCTAGACTTGCTTTTTTTTTTCTTAAAAAACTCCTAAAAAAACGTCTTTTTTAGGCCTTATAAAGCAGACTCCCGCCTTAATCTTTTTTTCGTCCAACCATGGCACAAAAACGTTTGAAATATATTAAAAAAATGTTGGCCCACACATCCATCCGCTCTCGGAACGGCCTATTCCCCAACTTTTATTAATACTAAGGGCTATAGAACCTGGGATTGGTTCGTATTTGAAAATTACCATTGGTGGTGGCAATTCGCCAGCTGCGTTGGCTGTCACTAGCACTGTTAGATTTTCTTTTTCGTAATTTGTTCCCGCTTTATAAACACTTTTATCTCCTTTTTTTGCTTAAACCCTGTTGGATTTAGGTTGAAGAAAAAATTCACTTTCATCAGAATTATATACATGGGAAGGATCGTTGGTTATATGAAACAAATGTTTATATCTTAAATAAATCTTAATTTTTTTAAACTACTGTCTGAGTTGCTGTTCAGAAACCTTTTCCCGAGCAGGTGTTAAATTTTGTGCCACTCTTTCACTCAAAAATACGAATTTATTATCTTTAATACACATCTACATACAATTAAAAGTAACCCAATTAAATTTTAACTAAAATAAATAAATAATTTTTTGTCCACCAAAATGAACACTTGTAACTTCCGCCATTTTCTAACCAAACATTAAATTATCTGATTTCTTTTAAATTCTCTACAAGGTTGCCAAACATCCTTATACTACATAGATTTGATAAATATTGGCTTTATTTAGGCAATTGACCTTATTTTTTAAAGAAAAGTTTGAACGTGTCAATTACTGGAACACTGTCAATAACTAGTACCGTTATCTTATTACCTTCAACAACATTATTACCGTTTTAATAATGCAATAATTAAATAGCATCACAATTAACACAAACTTTAAGTCATTTAAAAAACACTTAAAGGATTACTTATTAAACGCATCTGAAAGTTCTATAAATGATATCATTAATCGTCGTAACTAGAACGCATTGTTTGTTGTTTGTGGTTTTATAATTTGTATTTGTGATTGCTTTTATCGTATTATATTATATTAGACTTTTGTATGTATTGTATTATATTTTTATTTATACTATATTGAAATTCTTAAAGGTACATTTAGGTACTTACTCTAATATATTATTATTATGTATATATTTTACTGGTTTTAAATTTAATCTCTCTCCAGACAAGCTTTGCTTAAGGAAATTTTGTTTATTTACATATGTATGTTTTTTTTCCCTCCTACTGTATCTCATTATTTTCGTAAATAAACTATTATTATTATTATTATAACAAAAAATTATTATATAATTAAATCAAATACATGTTTTTATTCTTTACTTTAAAAACAGGTGGTGCATACAATTATTTGCTCTTTTTTTCTGTAAAATTTGCATACAAACTTCCTACAAAGTGCGCACGTTGTATTAACTTAATTGTCCAATTTTCGAGAGCACTGATAGCATCCGGCTCGTTTTCTAGCCGGAGTTGCTGGCTGAGGAATATGTTGATCCTGATCCCGATCCACTACTATTTCACAATCTCGTAAAGCCGATTTTATATGCTCCTTATGAGTTTTATAGTGCGACCTTTTCTCCATATTGGTCTGATCAAGATCATCTCCTAATTGTAAGAGAAACAATCGTGGTATTTTCGCCAAAAACCTGGCCAAAATTATTTTTTTGGTTTCTCTACATTATAACGTGTTATAAAGTTAATTTATAAGTAAAAAAGTCATTTGCAAGGATATACTAGTGATAATATAGCTACTAATTTTACATGAAACAAAACTAAATATTGATATAGGACAGGTGTGAATAAAAAATTAAAATTCTGAGTATGAAATTGTATTTGACACAAATTATAATATTAAATATAAGAAAATATATACAATTCCTAATCACTATAGTCACTGAAATCCATACTTGGTTTTAAAAATTCTAATGTATCCTTTGTAAACGACTGTTTCTTTCTCTTATTTTTAGGTTTAATGCTACTTGGCTTGTTCTTGCTTGTTCTTGCGAACAGTTTCAAGTAATGTAAGTTTTTTCATCAATAAATAATTCGCCAATGGATCACTTGAAAAAAAATAATCTGTGGTTATTCCTAGCCAACTGTCATGGTACGGTTCTACCAAATCTGACACGAAGGCTTGATTCTTCTCAGTTACACCATGAGATTTACCTGAATGTTGCATAAATATGACGTTTTGACATCTGCGGCGGCCCAAATTTTTATCCCATATCTTCTTGGTTTTGAGTTTATGTATTGCCTAAATGGGCATTTCCCCCCGGAAACATACTAACTATTTATCAATCGTGATATTTTCGTACGGTTGAAATGCCTTTCTGCAATTATCAACAAACATGGCCCTTATTGCTGCTAACTTATTCTTTCGCTCAGCTCTGGTTGATTTTTCATCAAATCGTAAAAATAATTATATTTGCTTAAATCTATAGATATATCGGGATATATTTATTATTATTATATCGGGATATATCGGGTTATATCCCGCGGTAAATCTGCTGTAAAAAATGATCGACGTATGGAGGTATTAGTAGACCACATTTCCGAGTGGATTCCTTTCTATACCTTAGTGCACCTGCTTTAAAAAGTTTTATATTACTACCTTCCTTAATATGAGCTTCCGTAGGATCTTCTTCCTAAGCGTTTTCTTGAGGTCCCGTTGGTTCTTCCTCTGATTCCTCTTCACTTTGTATTTCTAGGTTATCCTCCATTTCCGAGACATTTTCTATCGTCCAATCTTGACCCTTCTCATTGCCCGATATCGCTTTCATACTCCATTTCAGAGTCGTTCCAATTAAGATTGTTAATTATTTTTTTATGTTCTTTTGTTGTTATTGGCCTTGTTCTCTCCCAACGCTTCATTCTGAATAAAAACTATAAAAAAATAGTTTTTGGTATTTTTAATGCTTAATGCATAATAGGGGTCCCAGCAGGACACATTTTAACTTCTATTATAACACTATCGCTACGAAATATTGCGCAACACGCATCTACCGACACATAGCTAGGAGCAATGTTGCCAATATAGTCAGATAAAAAAAAAGTTATTGGGAGAAAATACCAATTGGGGTCCCAAAGAGACCCAAACATGCATCTAAGGGTTAATATTATTATTTTAGAATGGGTAAGGTAAAGTGAAACACAAGTAATAATTTTTATACTTGATTTAATTTAAGGAAATAAAATAGACAGCATAAATTATAAGTAAATATACATATTTCTGATAATTAGTTTATTAATATTTTAACATTTTATAGTCAAAACCTTATGGTTAATATCAAAAGAAAAACATTTTATTGATTTTTAAAGAAAATTAACTTTCCAGAGGCCTTTTTACCCAATGTAGCCTGGCATTTAAAAATATAGAAATTATTTTTTTAATGAAAAGAATTCTATGATTATCATTTTTGCCTTTATTCTTTATATGATCAATCATTGAAGAATTTGGAAACACTGATTTTACATTGTATAATATTTTATTATTTATATACATGGTAGTATTTTGAAATTTAAATTTATTATATATTTGTCTAATTATTTTTTTACGTTCTTTACATATGATCACTACATCCTTACTTTTTTAATTCAATAAAATAATATTTTTCTTCTGATATTAAACATTTAATACAGTCTTTACAGCAAAGTGTATTAAAAATGTTGGATAAAACATATAAAGTCATATATACAATAACAATTATCCTCCACAAATGAAGATTATGTCCAAGCTGTACTTAGGCAATCTGGGATTGTATTATGCATGGTTCTTCCACTTCTTCAACATCAGTGGTATTTTTAACATGTTTGAATGAAACATGCCAAATATCAATCCCATCAAATAAGCAATTTCTGGTTTCAATCTACCTCCATTCTTAGTATTAACCTTTTATAGGCAGATTGAATGGAGACTGTAAGGGTTGTTATGTAATCCCCCTGGCAAGAATAGCTAAAAAAAAATTTCCAAATAATCTTGGTTTACTTTATAGGTCAGTAAATAATGTAAACAAAGATTATTTAGATCCTAAAATAATCTAAATATAATTTGTAAATCAACAATTATACCTAAAAAAACAATCTCACGCGTAATTACGGGGTGATTTTAAAATTGAACAGCCAATATATATATATTCTTCTGCTAACTTTCCAAAGGTTTGAAGAGCCATACAATTTTCTTTTTTTAAAGGTATAGCCAGTTTTCGAAAATTTATTTTTTCAATTAAGCACATCTTGACACACTTGCTGACAACGTCTGACGTGCAATTCTTACATTCATCCTGTAAATATAAAAATTTTTGATAAATTCCTATTTATATTTTAAACAATTTTTATCACCAAAGGTATTTCAAACCAGTTTCATCGTGTGACATATATCAAAAAAGGTATAAATATAATTTGGTACGTTTGCGATTTTAAAGTATGGTATTAAAT